ATTGAAACCAGAAATAGTCTGCAAATTAATTTAAAATATTTTATGAATAGTCTAAAGCAGGCACTTTATAGTAGGACACACCTCCTGATCTCACATTGAACATTTATTTCTTTATAAAATTTCTTGATAAAATCATTATAAATTTCGAAAGTAGGGTAATTATAAGGTATACACATTTTAAATTAATTAAAGACACATTGTGACTCATATAAAAATAATATTAAAAATTTCATGAAAAACCTTCGTTAATAGCGCTTCAAGGTGCTTCCCACATACAGCAACCTTATAGCCCTCCTCCTCAAGGCATACTAGTAATTGAATAATTACCATGTTCGAGAAAAGAGAAGAGAACGCACCCCTCGCTGTGGGCTTTACAAAAAAATTCAGAATGAAGCATTCTGGGGAAACATATTTTTATATTTAAACGAATTTTTGTGTACTAGTTGAGTATAACCCTCCTCCTCCAGGTTCACCTGTAATTGTTTAATTACCACGATTCACAGAAGGAATTAAAAAATTTTCACTCTCCCATTCGGGAACCTTTACCATAAAATTTGAAATAAAGCGTTCCGGACATATTTTCAAATTTTGACGAATTTTCGTATACTTATTGAGTTCCAGACCGATTTGATATAATTTGCAGATTTTAATATTTCAAAAAGTTTTTGTACCAATATATATAATTCTCATCGTACCCAATAGATATAGTTCTCATGTTTACTCAACTATTTTAAAAAAATTTTGTCTGTCTATAAAACAACTGAAAGGTATCGAATAAATGAACAAACAATATGTGAATAAAATCAAAAAACCTTTGTGACGCTTACATAATTCTACACATGCTGTCGACGCCTCACTTTAAAAAAATTTAAAGAGTTTATTGGAAAAAGTTTATACAAAGTGTAGTTTGAGGCGTTTAAGTCACCATTTTAGAATTTATTTGTTGCGAATATTTATAGCCGAAATTTTTTTCACCACTCGAATCCCATATTATACAATAGCAAAGGATTCATATTATTTATTTTACACACATTCATTTTAAAATTTCCTGTACAATTTCTTACTGTACAAATGTGTACTGTATTTAATTCCTGTACAAATGTGTACTGTATTTAATAGTTTTCAAAATATTAAAATAAAAAAAAAACGAAAATAAAATTAATGGCTAAAAAATATGGTAACAAAATAAAATTATAAAAGTAGAAAGAGAAAAAAACAGAAAGAAATTAAACTAAAAAATATTTTATTTTCTCTATTTTTATTTTTTTTTGTCCTGTATTTAAAATTTCATTCTGAATTCAAATAGAAATCTATCTGACAAAGAATTTCTAGTTTGTTTATATTATTCACTTCTCTATATTCTGTTATTTAAATATTATGATAAAATACAAAAAAAAAAAAACAGAAGTCCTTGAAGGCATATGAAAGCAAAATACCATTATCTAACATTTTTTTACACACATATGTATGTAAGTATATATATGTATATACAAAAATATTACAAAACCGTAATATGTATGTTTGTAAAAGCAAAAAAAAATATTGTTTTATTTTCCTTTCCGAAAAAACTGTTACGATTACTGTAAATATTTAAGATATTTATATGTTGCCAAATTGTCGATGCTATCAATTTAAATATCCTTCTAAAAATAAAGAATATATTCTTCAGAAGGAGAAAAATCAAAAAACAAAAAACTGAAATACATATTTCCTTTGTTAGAAAAGCTTAGAAAAAATATCTGCCTATATTTAAATAGGCAAGTACAAAATACAAAAATTCTGAAGTCCACTTCTTCAAATGTCCTTCAAATGTTTACTCAGTATAAAAATAAAAGCAATGCGTATGCATATTATATCACCATTATAAATAAAATTTTGTTTGCCCAAACTCTTCTGGTATTCAAATTCATTGACATTTTCATAGTTCTATTATTCGAATTCGAATTATTCCACTTCATTATTACTTGTAGTTGTACTGTTATTTTTATATTTAAATTTTAATTAAAAAATTTTCTTCAAATCACACTCATCTTTTACCCCCATATATTTTTTATTTATGAAATTTATTAAAATTCTGAAAAGATTCTATTTTTCTAGTAATTATGAAAATTTATTGTATATTCTTTCCATTTTTTTACCCCCTTTTCGATATTTCGATACCACAGTTTATTGTTTTTCAATATTTTTTCTCATTATTATTAAATTCGCGTCAATGAATCCAATAAATTCGATATTCTTTTTTCGAAATATGACACACTTAACCTGGTTTTTTCAATATATTCACAGCGCCACTTCATGGAAATTTATTTTTCCTCCTATTTTCTTTGTTTGTACACTCTTATTCATAGAAAGTACATACATACGTAAACTTTTATTTTCAAATATCACAATTTTAAAACATTCAAATTTTCAATTTTCTTTTTTTTTGTCCCATTCATTTCTGCATTTTAGTTTTTTTTTCTTAGGTTTTTGTAGGTCAAATTTCTTGAAATAAACTTGTCAATTATATTCTGTACGGGATTTAAAATGAAATTTAATTTTTATATTATTTTGACAAAAAAAAGCACATAACAGACGGATTCAGCGAAAGGGAGGGATCCAAACTTACTTTAAGAAAAAAAAGTCGAGGTTCACTTTAAGTCGGCGTATATTAGAGCCTGTTGAGCTGTAAACATTAATTACATATAAACATTTCTTACACACAAGGATGTATGCAACTATATGCACATATAAAGCAAACACCCTATATATTTGGCCACAAATGTAAATTTGATCTTTAATAAAAGTTCTGTTGCCAAAAAAGTTCATTAATTATTAATTCAAATCTTACATTTTCATTATATATCTAATTAAAAATTTGGTTGCTTCAGGTGTGGGCGGGAACATGTTGATATGGCAGTTCTACAAAAGGTGTATCTGATCTAAGTCAGCCGCACCCTTGGTGTCTTGGCTTGGCACAAAAAATTTATCTTGGTGTGGGTGCCAGGACACTACGGTGTCAACGGGAATGAGAGAGCTGATGGTCTCTCCAGGGAGAGAGCGGCGGCTCCTTTCATTGGGGCGGAACCATACTTTGGGGTGCCAAGGACAGTGGTCTTGCGTGCTCTGAGTGAACGGGAGGAACACTTGTTGTGTGGAGCACTTATTGTGTGACCCTAGGGAGAATCGCGCAGCTTGATGTGCCTGCTATACTGCGGTTTGTCAGGGGCCTAAGTATAGGGCTAATGTAGATAGGGATGGGAATCACAAAAGATCCTATGGGTCGACGTGAGAAGCGCCTAACGGCCTCGCTCCCCGGGAAGAGGAAAAGAACAAAGTCAGCCGCACTAACTTGAACACACTCACTATATATTGAGATGCAGAAGAGGAAATCTCTCTAAAAAGAACTCATTTACGATTAGCCCTTACCTATAACATTGCATTTTTGTTAAAAACCCTTTAAGTGAAATTTGGTGTAGTAGCAATAATATTTTTTAATGTGTGTGTTGCAGACGGTACAAAAAGATCGATTGAATACAAGATACATATATGGGACACAAAGAATTTAAAATATATACAACACATTTATAGATGCAATAAAATTTTTCAAAAATATACATACAAAAATAATTGTCGCCAATTTCATCCCATGCAAATTGATAATGTTAGCAAGAAAGCAATTTAAGAAAAGGCTAATATATTTTAATAATTCTCTTATATAATAAAAAAAATTATTTTAATTTAAATATTTAAAAATATCCACAGAAATTTAAAAATAAGATATGTACATATATGTTAATATTATATGTACTCTTCGAGGTCATGGGCTTCTGATGAGATATTCAAATTTTATTTATAATCTCAATTTCTTGTAGTATGTTTGTGTTAAACAATTTTTATCCCGGCCATCGTGTCAGAAATCATTTATACACATATGTTCTGAGTTATATACATATATGGTTTAGGAAACAAATAAGGCAATAAGGCTCAGGAAATAATATTATTGGCCAAAATCGAGGAAGCCTTTCGCATATAAGGGCCTTCACATGTAATTTCTTACGGAAATTTAAAATTCTGTGAGATAGAATAAAAATTTTAAATTGCGGAAAATTTTTAATGATTCACTTATACTCGATTTTTGTACAAGCACAATATTTGTCACCTTATAGTTGAAATGAATAGAACCTTCTTTTTTATTACATAAATAAAAATTGACAGAAAAATACAATCAAGTTGAAAATTAAGAAAAAAAAAAAGCGCCGCCAATGGCTAAAAAAGTTTTATACTTACATACGACTGTCATTTTTACTTCTGTTGATAAGTTTCTCCGATTCAGGAATGTAAATACACATATATGTATACATTTATGCCCATAAACATTTATTCCTCATATCTGTATTCCATAAATGTTAGGCTTATAAATTCCATAAATGTTATGCTTATATGTGTGTTTATATGTGTATAGGTACTATTTGTTTAAATTATATTAAAATATTTTCACTTTCATATTTCAATAACCACATTTAATAATTTTTTTATTTTATTTATTTATTTTTCAGGGTTTTTCAACAACATATTCATTCAACAATTTGTATACCAAGAAATTTAATTAATTTCAATAAAATCAAAAAAAAAATATTTTTTTTCGATCATCACCGATTTTTAAGCGGTTTTGTTAAAATTAAAAAACAAATCTGAAAACAATAAAACAATTTCAATTAATTAATAAATAAATGCTATAATATTTAATAAAAGAAGTTTTAATTAACGCAATAAAGTTAATTATTTTGTAAATAAATTAAAATTAAAAGTTAGTTAGCTCAACTTAAATTTCAAATTTCATTAAAAAACAAAAATTACAATGAAAATTAGAAAATAATAAATTTTAATAACAAAAACACAAAGTTGAAAATTTAAGAAAAAAATATCTAAATAATATTTAACTAACTTTCAAATAACTAGATGTCGCTCAAAACATTTTAATGTAATTTAATTATAAACATAGTGTTTCCCGACGAAACTAAAATAGAAATCTAAAAAAGAAAATATGTTAAAATTTTAATTATGTAACAAACCTTAAGTAAATTACAACTGAATTTTCTATAATTACACAAATGTACAGAAATATGTTAATTATATTATAGAAATATTTAAAAATACAAAACATAGATGCATTTTTTAAATTATAAGGTTATTTAGTCGAATTTCAATTCAAAAGTAAAATAAAGAAAATATTAAAAAATATTAAAAAAGTTTTGAGCTTTATTAATTAAATCCAAATGTTAATAATAAAAGAAATTGAATCATTAAATTCTTCTAATTAAAATAAATAGTTAAACTTAAATAAAGTTGTAAATATTAAAAACAAGAAATACAAACAAATCAAAACAAGCTGTAAGATAACGAAAACAGGACACCAATGAGGAAATTAATTGCTTCAAATTTTCTTAAATATATTCAAAAAATTATTTTAATTAGCCTCAGTTGCATAAGTTGCAGCTATAAGAGCATTTACGAAAGCTATAATAATCATTATAGCTTCTATAAATTAAAAGCTAATGCTCATTATTTTAATAATGTATAGCTATAATTAAAAATATTAACTATAAAAATTAAATAATAATTAAAAAACATATATAAATATATAATAAATTAAATTTAAAAAATATAATTAACAAATAATTTTAAAATTATAAAATAAAAACAAATATTTAAATCGTACCTTAAATATAAAATTTTAATTTATAAAATCGTATCGCGCAATTAAATTACAAAAATTCCATTTCCTCTGTAATTATTTTGGAAAAATAAAAAAAAATCAATATTTTTTTGATGGTTTTGAATTTCTATTGGTTTTTTGCGGCTGCCCGGACTTCATTTAAGCGATATTACGCCGCCTGCCATTTATCAAAATGACTGATGATATAACACCGAATGATGAAAAAGGTAATTTTTTAAATAAAATAGATTATCAAAAATAATTAAAAAGACTTTTTAAAATATTTGAAAACGCATTGATTTTAAAGTCTAAAGAAAGTTCCAGCTGCCATACATATTCAAATATAATCAAACCACAAAATTTATTTCAGTTTACAAATCTTAATTATTTTTTATTTTAATAATTATAAATTTTAGTTTCAAGTTAAAATAATTAACTTTCAAATGTAAGTTTGCTTTAATTACAATAATGATTTTTGTTAAATAAACTTTTATTTAATATACATTTATAATTTTGTTAAAAAATTTTATTATTGAAGCTCTTTTTAGGAATAATTAATACTACTTATTTCTTTGTGTTCTCTATATGTGTTTGCGCGGTGACGTTCAAGAAAAGAACAAAAAAAGCATGACTTAGTTTTTTTCTAATTAGAATTAAAAACCGGTGTGGGGAATATTTTAAAACGTCAATAAACATCATGATTGATTTGATTTACATAATCAACATTTATACCAGTGATTAACTTTATGCCAATGGCGTAACCACAAAAATTTTATGTTATAGTTAACTAAATCCAAGTTAATTATTAGCAAAAGAGACGAAAGTTTTTAATTTGTTGTTTCGAATTCAAATTTAATTAATTTCGAAACAAATTTAGGCGAAAATTTAGAGAATAATTTCCTTTTCGAATTGATTTTAAATGAATTAAAGACAGATTACCGTTATAATAAAATTTTTTTGACGGTTCTATTTCAAAATTTATGTCACTGGTCGATTGTAGATTGCTGAAGAATACGGGCAAAAGAATTCTTCCATAGCAGCCAGCAATGACTTATTGTAGCCTTCCCACGTCCCACTTATACTTCTACGGTCCCAAAATAAATATCCGAAAATATCCATTATAGAGTTGGGCGCGAACTCCCGAAACCACCTGCACTTCCTCACGACCAGAGCAGAAGAGCCGCACTAAATATGTATGACCTCGTGTTTTCGGCAAGGCCTATATTCTTATAGATTCGCCGGGTAATTCACCGGACAATGCCTTGTAAAAAAGCTAGTAACAACACGAACCCAATTTCGATCCATACCTAGCAACTTGGAAGAGAACTTATTTGAAAAAGATGGAAGGAAATGCTTAGAATAATGACATCCCTCAACAGATTCAGCTAAGATTCGATTCCCCCTCAAGCAGAACGCCAATTCGACCGTAATTCTGAATATTTCATTAAACCAATTTATTTTTTCTCTCAAAAATTTTTTCAAAAAATTTTGTGATTGAGCAAAAAGAAAAAGTAAATTTTCAAATATTTTATAATTAAATACCTTTTTCTTTATAAGTGAGGCCGCACTACGAAAGCAAGTCAATCACATGATTTGTTTTTAAATTTTTATTTTTCAAAATTTTTAAATGATTTTTAATTTATTGCAAAAAAATTAGGTAGACTGATAACATGCCAGACCATACTTAGAAATTTGGAAAAGAAAAAAACAAAATTCTTACTCAATATTTTCTAAAAGGATGAATAAAAAAAGTCACTTGTGTAAAAAATTACCATAAAATTAATCAGACCTTACGTTTTCTCTAAATGACCCTTAAAAAGTCTTAAAGCCAAAAAAAAAAAACAATAATAAAAAGTAAAAGCTATTTATAAGGTGATTTTTTGAATTCAGTATCTTTCATAAAAATTCCATTTAAAATCATTTATACTTGATAAAATTATGTCGAATACGATCAACGAGAGCATTTACAAATGTATACCTTGTGTTTTTCGGCGATATATAAAGCTATTGCCCCCCATTTTTCTTCCATCATTCTTTTTCTTCAACTAACAAATACTGAATAAAATATTAGAAATTTTAGAAGGGCTCGAAACTAAAGAAATTCCATGGAGCGCAATGACGAGGACTCCAACAAGTCTCAAATTAACATTTAAGACGGTCTTTTGATCATAATCACAATTTACAGCTGGTATCGTTACATGGGAACATGTTTTGAAAAATGGTTTTGCGAAACCGGGGACTCGACACCTCTCAGACCTTGGTTCTGACTTACAATTTTCTCCAAGAATAGCAGAGTAACACTTCTTTATACTTTTTAATCAAAAATCGATTAGTAATCATATAATATTTTTTGAGTATAATAGAGCTTGAGTCAAAAAATATTATTACCTAATCCCCCCAGCCAATCATTAATTTTTTATTAAATACCATCCTATCCATTGTATTTTAAATATTAAAGAAGAACTCGCAAAAACACCTAGATTGAATACATGCGTATAATAGCTTATAATTTATCAGGTTAATGTCCATAATTTAAATAAATCTATATTTTTATGTAGATGAACGTATGTACATACTTACACACTTCTTTATATTGTAAAAGAATATCTAGGAATTATACAAAATGCTCTACAAAGAACTTTTATTTTTCCTTTACAAAGATCATTTTTTTTTATTATAGGATTATAAATCGAAGCTATCAAAATAATGTTCACTGATACCATTAACTTTAGATGAGCTGCTATATGAGACTTTATTTCCTTTTCCTATAATTCTTATTGTGACTATCACTTTCTTTCAATGGTTCTCTCTGTATGTTTATCATCTCATTTTAGGTTTTCCAATTACTTCTTCTTCTTCATCTTTTTTTGGAAGAAATTGTTACATTTAAAGCAAAAATTCTATTCTACTCCGGAGTTTTTTTATTTTTCTTTGTCAGGTCATGTTAAATGTGAATTATTATATCATCTTTAAGTAATTGTGTCTACGTATGTGTGTGATTGTTGTTTTTATTTACATACGCACTAAAAGTCGATTATTTGAATCGAAAATATTAATTTTTTGCTTCTTTTTGAATCATGTTGAAAAAGACTTCTTATTAAGAATAATATTCATATATTATTCTTGGATATTCCAGGTATAGAGTAAATTTAAAATTAATATTCTTTAAATTGACAAACGTACAGTAGTGCTAGTGCACAATTAAAATAGTGAGTTTAACAGTGTAATCGGTATTTGTAGAACCTATTATCCAATAAGAATATTTTGAAAAACAGTCATGAGTATATGAGTCAAAGCAAAAATCGGCCTCCACTCTATCTCTCCTACTGTAAAACAAATAACTATTCCCAAAGTTCTGCTTGCATAATTCAAATTTCTTTCCCATCCATTTTTTTTGACGAAAAATTTTGGGTTCTTTTTATTTATTCAACTGATACAAGACGCTACTTTACAACATCAAATTTTGCAATACATAAACATATTTTTATATGTTAATATATTGAGGTGAATAGCATGTCTATTGGATCCTTGTCAATAAAAAAAGTAGTATAAATCCTCTAAATCCCAAATAAAATTATAGTGTGGGGAAGAGCAGCAAAAAAATGCTGGAATACAAAAATAAGTAACAGAAAATATAAAAAAAAATAAACATAAGGTGAAATACCTTTGAAGCTACACAAAACTTATGGTTCATAAGACTTGCCATAAACGTGTAAAAATTTTGAAAAAAAAACCACAAATGTTTGATTTTTTTCCACAACAGCACATTTTGAATTGACGTCAAATATGGCTTTAGTATATAGTATTCTAATTTATAATTCGATTATTATTACATATTTTGTATTTTGCAGGTATTTGCCACATATTTTTTAGTAAAAACGGTAATTTACATAATTGACATTACGTAAGACTTGTGTTTAATAAACGCATGAAGTAACATTATATGTGTATGTCAGTTTACTATAATTTTTGTTAGTAACCGTTAGATTGACGTTGCATTTGAAGGATACATCAAACCAGATAGGCCTGTCGTGATACCGCTGGATCCTCATATTCCCAACATCACTTGAACCAGTTCGGCACTTACGCTGCAGCTCTTGCAGAGATCGTTAACAAAGCGTCCCATCCTCCTTGGGTGTTTACCAGTCAGACAGTTTCCAGTTATAATTCTTATCACAGTTTTGATGACACCCCTTGGGAAAAACATCAGGTTTGTCGTGCCATGCAGGTTTGCTTGAGGCCACAATTGCCTGGTCGCACTCGCATTTCGTTCAATTTTCGCACCTATTGTTCTTTCACTGTATTGGTCAAGGCTCGATAGCCAAGTAATAAAGTACACAAGTATAGAAGTGTAACGACCAGGGAAGCATGGGCTCAAATCTTACGGGAACCGCAATTAAAAATGCTATAAAAAATCATTTTATGTCGGTTTCAACATAACCTAAAAATTAATGCCCGATACTTGAATTGAAAAATATTTAATTTTTCTGTAACTTTACAACTTTTGAGAAACAACTAGTCTTTTGTTTCGACAGAGCAATATTAGCATTCAATTGACGCTCAGCTCACACTCAAAAAAAATTATGTACGTCACACGTAATTATTTATGCCAAATATTTGGGAATTCGTAGAAAATCGAACATCACCCAATTATTTAATTATGACAAGAAACTAAGTATTTTTAGTTGCTTATAAAAATTAGACGAGCTCTTTAAAATTCGTATATATATGTTGTTTATAATAAATTTTTGAAAATTCTTTCCACTCAAAAAAATTAGCATCACTTTATTTATAGAAAATTTTAAAAATATCTTTAATGGCTTATCACACTTGAAAATAGAGAGAAAAGTTTTCCAATTCCTAAATTTGGCAAAATCAAAAACGAATTTCTCATTTTCCTTTGAAATAGCTAAAAACATTTAAGCTTCATCGACGTTTATAAATTTAACTAAATATGATATTACAGGTATATCTACATATATATATATGTATGTATATATACATATATATATTTAAAATTATAAATAATAGCAAGAATAAAAAGAATGATAAGGGAAAAGGATTCGGTGCTAACAATAATTTCATTTATTAAATTCTTATTTTGCCTTTTATGCTATTCAAGTATGTGCACATAAGAGGAAATGTTCCAAAATCATTCGAATATTGTTGTGTGCACGTACACTTACATGGCGCGCTATTCAACTCATAGGCAACAGCTTTTCTGTTT